CAATTTAAGAGTCAATAAAATAAATGATTAGGTAATATAATCAAGAAAAAAACAGAGGACAAACAACATAAAATAAGAAATAAAGGTAACATCCTATAGAAATAATCTTCCTAAAAGCACCAGGCCCCAATGTTTCCATAGGGAATTACAACATCTCCTTAAAGAAAGTAATTTCAATGTCATCTACGTAAGACCAGAGAAAAGGAAACCTAACTATTTTCAGTAAAATGAGTATAGTAAGCTGGGCGAGGTGGCTCATGCCTGTAATCCCAGCAGTTTGGGAGGCTGAGGCAGGGGGATCCCGTAAGACCAGGAGTTGGGGACTTGCCTGAGCAACACAGGAAGACTCGGTCTCTACAAAAAATACAAAAAAATAGCTGGACGTGATGGCAGGCACCTGTAGTTCCACCAACTGGGAAAGCTGAGGTGGGACAATCACTTGAGCCTCGGAGGCTAAGGCTGCAGTGAGCCGTGATTGTACCACTGCACTCCAGCCTGGGTGATAGCGTGAGACCTTGTCTCAAAAAAATAAAAAAAAATAAAATAAAATAAAATAAAATAGCATATGATTAATAAAAAACTTTTTTTTGAAAGTTTAAAACCTTTTAAAAGGAGCACCTAAAAGGAAAATAGAACAAAGTGGGATCTCGTAGTCCTGACTGGGAAGACAATTCTATAAATATGTCAATAATCCCCTCAAGATTTTTTTATTTGGCGTTAGAAACCTTTTATTGAGACAAGGTAAACAGTGGGCTGAAAATAATACAGGGTGAAGGAAGGTTGAGGAAACCAGTATGAAGTCATCTCAAATGATGAACTAAATACATTCCAAAAAGTGAGGTCTTAACCAAAAAGCTTTTAAATGGCATTCCAAAAAGAAAAAAAAGGGGGGGGTGTCATTTAAATCTCTTGAATTGACTAAAAGAGCTAAATTATGTACCCAAATTCTGTACAGCAGGGGCCTGTTTCCAGCAGGTAAGCCTACATACAAGTAAGAACCTCTTACTCTTGTTACAATTGTCCTGTTTTGTTTTGTTTTACAGGAATATATAACCCCCATCCCCACAGTGTTAGTCCATAAGGCCTCAGTGACTGCATAGAAATGTGGACCTACCTCTACTAGAGAACTAGTTACACTGCATTGTAAATACATATGTATGTGTTCACCCCCATAACTAAGCTGTCAAGCCTTGAGTGAAGGGGTAGTTACAACTCATTCATTTTGTATCTACAGGGACAACAGGCATTCAATACTTTTGCATGAATAATAGTGACACAAATTAGCATTCTTCTTGGAATGGAAAACTTTCTGGGAAGTTCATTCTTTTTCTCTTTTTCAAAAGTGCATCTCGCAGCGCCAACTATTTTTCTCGGAAGGAACGCTTATTGTTTGACCAGACATTCTGGCTATACAGCATCATCATAAAGTTCTTCTGTTTTTTCTTCTCTTTATTTTTTGAACTGGAAAATGGATTCATTTTGGTTTTCTTCCTCACAAATCCTTTTCAGTCTGTCTTTCTAGACATTGCAGTTGCTATTCTTGTCTCTTTGTCAGACTTTGGCTTTGGCTTTTTATGAAGGCGTTCAACGTCCCGAAGAGAAAGTAATTCACCCCTGGGCTCTTCGTCACTGTCGATTTCAATATATTTCCTCTTCTGGGATTTCTCAGGGGCCAGCATCAAGTTCTTTTCTCATTTAGGCAATGCGGATTTTCTGGAAGTCTTCCTGACTTAAAACTCGACTGGTGCTGATGGCTGCTGCTTTGGCTTTCTGCTCTTCCATGGGCATGCTGTTCAGCTTCTTGGAAATTTCTTGCTGTTCTTCATCGGAAGAGTGTTGAACATCAACCCATTCCCCATCGGCATCCTCCTCCTCACTGAGACTGGTACTTCCCCATCCATCTTCATCATTTTCAGCATTCTCCTCTTTCTCAACTTCCAGAACTTCTGCTCCTGGAATGTAATCTTTAGCATCTAATTCTCCATATTACTGTACTCTTGCTTCTACAGAGGCTTCTGTAGGCTTACCCCAGAATTTCTTCTGCAGCATCTGAGGATTCAGTGTTCGGAAGAGCTGAATCAAAGTTCTACCAGACATCAATACATTCTTATTCTTGTGTGGTTTATACTGAGCCAGGCCAGGTCTTGGAGAAGCTCTTCAGTCATGGCCAGAGGACACTGAGCTGTTATCTCTTTTATAGCATTGATTCCTACTGTCATGGCTTCTCCAGAGTTCTTGTCAGTAACAAAATTGTTGGCCACAGTCATAAGCAATGATTGAATAATCGCTGGGTGTACTAGGTGATGAGATGCTTGTGCAGCAAACAAGGATCTTTGTTACTTCTCTTTGGTGGGCTGCAGAAACCTTTGCAAAAAGTGACAGAAATTGAAGAGGAAGAGCTCATGAATTCCCACCAATCTGGAGATGAGGTTCATGAGCATCATCTTCACTACCAACCTCTCCTTACAGCATTCAAGCTGCTTTAGTAGTTTTTCTGCAAAATCTTGGGGATCATGAATCAAGTGAATAGCTAGAAGTTAAACACCTCTGGTTTTTTCTTCTTCTTTTGTTTCTTGAGCACTTTTATTGCCTTTTCCAATGTTTTCTTGTTTTGGGAACTTTTCTTCCCTATAGCATATTGTGCTAGCAGGTCTCTTGCTGTTGGTCCGTCATCCTCAGATTCGGAGTCACTGTCCTGTATTTCATCTTCATCTTTCCCAAGAAAGAATGTCATAGCAGCAACTAATATCCTGGTGACCTTAGAGAAACAGGCAGTTGTGATAACACTGACAGTTTTGGTATCATTCCAGATGTTCCTTCTGTAGTGTTCAGTCATAACATCTAAAGACATCTTGGCTGTGGTTGCATTGCTATCTCTTAACATGGTGTACATGAAATTTTGCAACACTACATCCACTTTATTCTTGTGTTTTGTGTTTGCATTCTTGATATCAGTCACGATATGTGTGTATAAAGTCTTTTGCAGAAGCTTATCATGGCAACATAGAAGTTCAAAGAAGAGCTCTGGTAGGCTTGATGGATTGATGAGATTCTTATTTCTCAGCAAGATCAAAGCTTTGCAAAATGTCATTCGAAGATCTGGATCCAATACGGTATGATTACAGGACAGAAGATCTTTCACCACTTGAGGAAAATTACTTAGATACCCTGTGTAGCAGAGACTAATCTGTAACAAAGCACAGGCTCTTCTGAAGTTTCTTTCTCTCCTATTATTCAGATGCACATATCTAGGATGTTCTGTGCCATAAACATTACCAGTTCTGCTAGTTCTTTGCTGGGTTTATTTGGTTGCAATTTGAAAATCTCCACACTGGATGTGTAGTGATTATACTGCTGTAGAAACTCCTCGATGTAGGGCGGTGGGTCTCGCTTGATCAGACTCTGTAACTGCGGCAGGTTGCTGGGCAGCTTGTTGTTGTTTCTGCTGGACATTTTGGCTGCAGACTAGCTTCACGGCAAGCAGTTTTTTAAAAACTCAGATGGCCAGCAGCCGCCAATCCCTACCAGCTGAGGCTTGAACTCCTGCTTCCAGGTATGACTGGAAACAGCACTCAATCTATTAATAGAGTTCATTTCTGACCAAAATCTTAAAATAATTTGCAAAGGGATTTGACAAATCAATCCTTAGAAAAAACCTTTTAGCATGGAATTTTTCAAATATATTTAAAAATTAGAAGAATAATGCATTACATGGCTTCAATAATTGCCAATACATGGTCAATCTTGGACAAGTCCATTTTTAAGTTCATCTGAAGAGTAACTAGTCATTAACATCTGAAAAAGACAAACGAAGAGAAACTTTAATAGTTACCTAACAGAGGTATTGTAGATAGCCCTGAAACAGACTCACAATTTTGTGGGCATTCAGAGAGTGACAAAGGTACAATTTCAAATCAGGGTAGAAAGGATGGCTTAAAATTAATATTATTGGGTCAATGGGCTACAAAATTGAGAATTGAATTTAAATCATTTACAGCATATGGAAAATAAATTTCGGATGGATTAGAGCTCTGAATGTAAATTTAAGCCTATAAGAAAATTAGAAAAAGTTATAAGGGAATTATAGATTAATTATTTTGGTGCGAAAGTCTCCCCAAGTCATGTAAGAATGATAAATCTGATTACATGAAAACCTTACGCTTCTACACAGTGAAAAAAAAATTAAAAGACAAGTCAGAGACTGAGAGAAACATATGTGACTCATAAATCAGACCAAGGAGACAGGGCGAAGACATGGAGACGTGAAGTAGGAGGTGTGCTCAGGAAAATAGTTAAATGTCATCCACGTACAGGATAAACGGCTTCCCACGTCATGTCCCAGAAATCGATTAGTCGATGGGATTTGGGTGATTGCTTTCTTCTGTTTTTCCTGAATTTTTCTCTTTTTTATTTCTTTCCCTTTCTTCTTTCTCTCTTTCTTTTCTACAATGATGGTGTGTTTGTAATCGACATTTTAAAAATTCTATAACAATTAAATTTGGGGGCGGCCTTCCCTTGTTTCCCGTATGGAGTGTTGATGTTTCAGCAGCTTTATTTGGAGTTTACAAGTGGAAGCACCTGGGTTTGGGGCTTCCTTTGTGTCCCCAAGACACCTATTGCAGGAGTGAGTCCTAAGCAGTAGAAAACAGATGCATGTGCAGGGCTGGATGAAGCACTATGGAGCCTGTGTGAGAGGAGGCACGGGCGCTAACACAGGAGCGCACTTCCTCATTCCGCTTCTTCTCATCCTCTCTCGCAGTGCCATTGGCATCACTCATCCCATCCGGTCATCCCAAGTCACACGCAAGAGTTCGTTCCCGGCGCGCGCGTCAGCTTGACTCGCGCGTCTCCACGTCCGGGACCCGCAGGGGAACGCCGCCGCCCCGTCCGGTCGCTTGTTGTGTTGTCATCACGTGGCCTGGGCGGACCCTGACGTCAGTGGCAGGGGAGGGACAGCGCAGGCGCAGAAAAGGGGGCGGGGGACTCGGCTTGTTGTGTTGCTGCCTGAGAGCCTGAGACGGTCCTGCTGCTGCCGGAGCCCTGCCAGCTGTCCGACGATGTCGTCCCACCTAGTCGAGCCGCCGCCGCCCCTGCACAACAACAACAACAACTGCGAGGAAAGTGGCCAGTCTCTGCCGCAGCCGGCCGGCCTCAATAGTGAGTGAGGGGCCGAGGGCTTGGTGAAGGGGATGGGGGAGGAGGAGCCGCCCCGGCCGCCGCCACCGGCGCGGCGCGGGAGGCGGGAGGAGAAGGCAGCTCATTGGCCCAGGCCGGTGATGTCCGGGTGACTGACAGCTCCCGTCACCTGTCAGGAGGATGGGCGCCTGCCTTGCTCCGGGCCTCTCTGTTGCCTCCTGGGGTCATGGGCCGGGGCCGTTTGGGTTCGCGGTCCGGGAGCGGCGCGGGTAGCGCGGATCCCACTGGTGCTGGGGGTGGTCCCCAGCAGCGGAGCCGGGCGGGGCGGGGGCGGGCCTGGGGGGCGGGGAGGCCAGGTGGGCGGAGCGGGCCGCGGAGGGGACGTGGGCCGGAATGGGGACGTGCGGCGGGGACGCCGGGGGATGGACGCGCGGGAGCGGGGCGGGGCGGGCGGATGCCGCGGGACGTGTCTGGGATCAGGTGTGCGGGGCCCGCGGGCGGGCAGCGTCTGGCGGGCTCGGGAGCCCCCAGCGAGCATTCCTTTGTTGCCACATGTTTGTCAGGAAAATTCATTTGCTGGTCTAGGGGCTTCAGTCACGTGTGGGGTGAGAGGCTGTGCCTTGCTTCTCCTTTTTCCTTTTTTAATTTTTTTTTTATTAGCTTTCTCGAAGTTGCCCAAGTGATTTTTTTTAAGCGATGAGGTTGTGCGCCCAGTAAACCTGAGAATAGCCTCCTGAACCACCCGGGACTGCACACGTCAGGGAGTCTGGGGCCATGCATTTAAGGAAACGGAATTAAAAACGCACTCGGGCAATTGAAAGTTAACGGGCAAGGCTGATGGACAACCCAGGCCAGGGTCTTTTCATAACATTCCACTGCCCAGACATCTTGTCCTCAGATTGTTCCTGGTCGTGAGAACCGGGAGCCTTCTTGGAAGGGTTCTTGCCTAACCTTTCTTTAATTCAACTCTTGGGAAAGAGATAATGGGGGTAGCGAGCATATGGCCAGATGAAGGCTTTTCAAAACCGCTTGGATGCTTAAAGGTCATGCAGTATCTTTCGTAAGAGGGAGATGCTTCCAGCGTGGCCTGAAGATTATTCTAGGGAAGAGAGTTTCAGCCGTCACCAGGTAGCAACGGAGTTTGGAGATTTTAAGACGGATGCTGCTGCTCCAGGTTTTTTGATGGGTTAATACCCAAAACCTTTAAGTGTGCTACATTCCAGAATGTAAGACGGTTATGTTATTTCCCACAGTAAATTAGGATGAATGTCTGAGTCATTAAACGTTACTCGTATCACATATTCCTATGCAATTTTAAGTTATTTGCCCATGTTTAGCATACTGTCTTAGGTTTGAGAATGGGAAAAACTTCAGAGCTAGCTAACTGCCTCCTGTTGTTTACCTGTAGAGAAACAGGTCTAGAGTTAAGAGCCTGGTCCAAGTTCACAACTGGCTGGGAGCAAAGCGGAGGTTGTCATGTTCAGCCTGTCTACTGCTGTTTTCAGGGAGGGCTTTTTTTTTTTTTTTTTTTTTTGAGATGGAGTCTCGCTCTGTCTACAACCTCCACCTCCCAGGTTCAAGCGATTCTTCTGCCTCGGCCTCCTGAGTAGCTGGGACTACAGATGCTTGCCACCCGCCCAGCTAATTTTTATATTTTTAGTGGAGACGAAGTTTCGCCATGTAGTTGGGATTACAGGCGCCCGACACCAACCCAGACTAATTTTTGTATTTTCAGTAGTGAGGGGGTTGGTCTCTCACCATGTTGGCCAGGCTGGTCTCAAACTGCTGACCTCACGTGATTAGCCCGCCTGGGCCTCCTAAAGTGCTGGGATTACAGGCTTGAGCCATCGCACCCGGCCTCTTTTCAGGACTTCTTTTCAGTGGTCCAGAACCTCCTGCTGGTCTGTGTGTCTTATTTTGTCAGTGTGTTATTCTACCTAATTCACAAAGGTGGCCCACCTTTCTGTTTCTTTTTAGTATTCTGTTTCTTAATTGTGCAATTTTCTTATGAGTGAAGATACTTGGTAGGTGTACATGATTTCACTGAAATCTAAGGGATTTTCATCTTCCTTTGACCCTTTAACAACAACAACAATAAGGGCTGAGCCAGGCAGGGCGTGGTGGCTCATACCTGTCATCCCAGCACTTTGGGAGGCCGAAGCGGGTGGATCACTTGAGGTCAGGAATTCGAGACCAGCCTGGCCAACATGGTGAGAGACCAACCCCCTCTCTACTGAAAATACAAAAATTAGCTGGCCTGTCGGGCGCCTGTAATCCCAGCTAATCAGGAGGCTGAGGCAGGAGAATCGCTTGAATCCGGGAGGCAGAGGTTGCAGTGAGCTGAAATCGGGCCACTGCACTCCAGCCTGGGTGACAGAACGAGACTCTGTCTCAAAAAAAAAAAAAAAAAAGAAAAAGGGTTGAGCCATATGTCATTGTTTATCTTGGAGTCTGACAGACCTATGAGGAGTTTGATGTCTTTGGCCAGTCGGTTCCTGCTTGGTTGACATCAACTCTTACAGAGGTGGAAGTACTCAGCCTGCATGGGATATCAAAATGTTGCTTTGGGAAATCTAGATAGAAAATATTTTACGTGGGATAGGGTGAGCTTTCTGAAAAGCTTTTAGATAATGCCATATTTAATTACTCCCCTCTTTCCTCTTAACTCTGTTCGTTTTTTTAGCTCATTACACAACACTGCACTGAACAAAACAAGAAGCCTCATTGATTCCTTGAAGTGATTTTTGGGCATTGGGCAAAACAACTTATTCAGGCGCCTAGTACTATCCAAATTGCGATAAGTTGAAGGACTTTGTTGGGTAAAGTTGCACAACTGAAAAACAGGAGATGAAATGTACAGATTTTCTTGGGTTTGGGACTTTTTATCTTTGGTTCAGGGAACAAAGCAGAGTTTCAATGGCAAATTATTGAAATATTTGAATAATGAAGTATTTCTGTGATTTTTTTTAACTTTATCGCTGTGGAGAGACTGTTCACTTTCATTAAAAATTACAGGGCAAATACCCAAACTCCTTCCAAGTCAAAAGGATGTTGTCCAGTTTGTTTTATTGTTAAGAAAACTATCAACTTCCTTAAGAATATTTGAATAAGAGTCAATTGGTCGAATAAGGAAAATCAAAGTAGTAGTATAAGTCGTAGTGTAATTCTTGTTATTGAGAAATACAGCCTTTTTTTCTTTTCAAATTTTTTTTGTTGTTTGTTTGTTTGTTTTTTTGAGACAGGGTCTTGCTCTGTCACCCAAACTAGAGTGCAGTGGTGCAGTCATAGCTCATGGCAGCTTCGACCTCCTGGGCTTAAGTGATCCTCCTGCCTCAGTCTCCTAAGTAGCTAGGAGTGCAGGTGCACGCCCCCACACCCAGCTAATTATTTTATTTCTTGTAGAGGTGGAGTTTCACCTCGTTGCCCAGGCTGGTCACTAGCTAACTTATTTTTTGTAGAGATGGAGTTTCACTTTGTTGCCCTAGCTGGTCACAAACCTTTTTTTTTTTTTTTTTAAATAGAAACGTCTTCCAGCACGATGTCCTTGCTTTCCGGTTTATGAAGAGTGCTGTTAAGACCTTCATGTATTGTCACTGCCTCATAATGTTTTGAATACCTATGTAATTTGTGTGTAAATACATACTTCTCTGCAAAAAGACCAACTTTTTTTTTTTTTTTTTTTTTAAGAAGAATGCCAGTGACTCTTGTTGGCCTGGTCTGGATTCCTTTCAATAATGAATGAAAAGCTTTGAGGAAAGAATGTAAACATAATGAAATTTGAAAAGAGTTACATGTGGGCCTTTAAAAGTTAGGGGGAAAAATGAGGAGAAATACTCTTCATTCTCTCTTCCCCTTGTCCCAAAGCTCCTCTCCTCTTCTTCTTGAGAGAGGATTGAACTAGTGATTATAAAACTGTAAAGATTATGCAACATACAGCAATGAGTATAATCACAATTATTGGACCACCCTTCACGATCTATTATATTAGAGAATGGAGAAGCTTTCACAGAAGTTTCTCTCAATCTCTTAGTCATTCCCAAAAACCCAAACCAGAAAATACCTCATGTCATTGCATATTATGTACAAATTGGCGTAAGGAACGGCTCTTAGTTTGTAAAGTCTTTTAAATAATAGAGAAAGCTTTCCAGCTTTTAGTTTGCAAGCTTGATTATTAGGAAGAGAATTCACTCTGTGGTTGTTTTCTACTTTGTGTTGCTTGGACAGCACAAACCTCTTATCTAGCCTTGTTTCCTTTGCAAGTAAAAAGGGACTTTGTGAGGATTGGTAGAGTTAGAACACTAAGAAATTCTGAGGCTGTAAATCAGGAATGAATCAGGTGATGGGAAACGGATGTGTTTTTCATCTGTTGAGGAAGACATATTTGTTTTTTTGTATGTTACTCAAAAGATTAATATGTAGCCTCTTAATTAATGCCTATGTACATAACTTTCTCTGCACCCACTATGTATTTCCATAGATGATATTTTTGAAAGAGAATTACTGAGTTAAAGGAAATCTACCCTTTTAAGGCTGTTAATACATATTGTCAAATTATTCTCTAGAATGTTCACTGAAGCCCTGATTGTAATAACAAAGTATTAGAAACAACCATCTGAGTAGTGGTTAACCATTGCCATTTAGATAATGGTTAAAGTATGGTATATCTTTATAAAAGATGAGATGCAATGCAGTTGTTCGAAAGAATGAATGTCAGTATATATTGAGAGGGAAGACATCTGAAAAACGACTTACAGAATATGTCAGTATGTGTGTATGGTACAGTTCTATTTCTTTATAAAAACAAAAGCAAAAACAGACCTATATTTCATTGGAAAAAACTCTGCAAGTCTCCATGTGAAACTGTGAAAAGTGGCTCTTTTGGGAGAAGGAATGGGAGGTTGGGAGAGATGTTAATTTTTAATTTCATGTACTGATCTTTACGTTTTCTAGCAACACATTTTTCCGGTAAGGAATGCTTTTTCTATGATACAGAATATAGTTATAGTAGCTAAAACTTTCTTAGGGACCTTTCTCATTGTTCTGGGTGCTTTATTCATTTAATCCTCCTAACAAAGTCTTCGAGGTAGATACAGTTATTATCTCTGTTTTATAGATGAGAAAACTGAGGCACAAAGTGGTTAAGTACCCTGTGCGAGGGTAACAGCTGTAACTGAGAGTGGGAGCCTGGCTTCAGTCTCAGCCCCTGACCAAACTATACCAGTGTATGCCAAGTACAAATTGTCTGCCTTAAGTAGAAGTGCTTTCAGTTATGCTACAGGGTGTGGAGGCCACAGCATAGATCACTTTTACTAAGCTCTTCTAGGTATGTCTCTTTCAAGTTCCTAAAGTATATATTAGATTATGATTGCTTATGTGTTTTTAATGAAGAAAATAGGATCCAGACATTGATTTGAAAGTCCTTCAAAAAAGTAAACACCAGGCTGGGAGCAGTGGCTCATACCTGTAAGCCCAGCACTTTGGGAGGCTGAGGTGGGAGGATTGCTGAAACCCAGGAGTTTGAGACCAACCTGGGCAATGTAGGGAGACCCCGTCTCTACAAAATAAATAAATAAATAAGTCGGGCATGGTGGCATGTGCCCTGTAGTCCCAACTACTTGGGAGACTGAGGTGGGAGGATTGCTTGGGCCCAGGAATCAAGGCTGCAGTGAGCTGTGATTTTGCCACTGTACTCCAACCTGGGTGACAATGCAAGACTGTCTCAAAAGAAAGACAAAAGTAAGGAACAGAAAACCTGATACTGTTTGTTACACCCTTTTTTCTCTTTGATCAGCTACTTCAAGTGAACATTAATTGTATTTTAGGGAAGACTGGCTTCCACAGAGACCCATCTGGAACTCCTGGTTCCTTAGCTCTGCTTCTGTCAGAGCAGCTCTGGGTTTTGGTTTGTTACTATTGTACGCATTAGGCTTCTATACAAGAAGAACTGGTTCCATTGGTTTAAAAATAAGTTTGAAAATCCTAGAAACAGTGAGAGTCAGAAAAAAACTGTTTTTATATACATATTATCTCCCCCACCCCCTTTCTCTCCAGTTGAAATATTTTGTAGAGCTCTAAATTTAGGGATGCTTTTGGCATATTTCTTATACACTCCAGAGGCACTCTAGATAATTTATCTTCAATGTTAGATCTCTCTTAGCTTTGCTAGTTGTATTTGTTAATCCATTTTGAGTTATCTTTAGTCTACGTCCATTTTATGTGTGTGTAAAATGAGGCCATGGAGATGTACAGCTCTGTCGTTTGGCAGTAGAGTCCTAAGGAATTGGTGGTGATTATGGGATGGTGGTAGCCACTGGGGCTGCCTCAAACGGAAAGAAAAGGGTTCTAAGGACTTATAAATGTAAATTCTAGTGTATAACTGAGCATCTTCCGTTTACCAGCACTTGATACTACTAAATCCTCACAGCACCCCGGTGTTGTTATTATCTCTGTTTACAGATGAGGAAGCTGAAGCTCAGGTCACAAAGGTAGACAGGAAGTGATGGGGTCAGATTCCCGGCTGCATCTGCCTTGGAGCTTTCCTTCTTGTGAGGGTGATGTTGAATTCACTCTGGAACTGGTGTAGCCATCGCCACATTTAGAGTGCATTTTAGAGTTTGAGCCAGTTTTGATGATTTTACTTCAACTTACTGACGGAACTCCCTGTTCATCCCTGGAACTCTCGAACACTTCTGCTGGGAGTTTAGAGGGATGACCACACCAGGCCGCTTGGTTACATTTTCTAAAACAAAATTTATTGTAAGGAATGGAAATTATGAACAAAGTATACAACTATCTCTTTTTACTGTGAAGTTAGTTTATTGGCTACTGTTAACAATTTATTTATTTATTTACTTACTATTCTTTTGTAGAGACAGGGTCTTACCTTGTTGCTCAGGCTAGTGTCAAACTCCTGGACTCAAGCAATCCTGGTCCCTCAGCCTTCCAAAGTGCTGGGATTACATGCGTGAGCCACTGTACCTGGCCTCAACTCTTACTAAAATTAAAGCACCTTAATATGTTTAGCAAACTCATTGGACCAATAAATATTTTTAAGACCTATGCAGAATTACCAGTGGTACATCCCCTTTTTCTGTGGCTCCACCCCTTCAACTTTGTGTCCAAGAAAACTTTTCATGTTTGCCTGTAGCTGATGTGCAGTTGTTTCTGCCCCCAAATCAACAGGGTTTAGTGAAAACCCTGGAAAGTAGAAACTTGTGGGAGAGAAGAGAAAAAAGACAAGTTCACAAGGTATGCTTAGTGTATAAAAAAGGAGAAAGACTAGAAAGCGAGAGATACAAAGGAAGTGAAGAAACTAATCAGTGAGATAGAGCTAAAGCTTTTTTCTGAATTTTTAGCATTATCACCTGATTTAGTTAACCAGCCGCATTAATTTTATGCTCCTGATTTGTGTACAAATTGAAATTTTTGCTATTGGATTTAGGTTCCCTCTCTAGGAGTTTCTCAGTTGTTTGCACTAAGTAGGATATAGTTGCTAACTTACTTAGATGACCTTTTATGAAATTTGTAAGTGATGTATATATTTCATTTCTGGAGCAGATACAGCTGAGTAGCTTAGGTAGACTATGAAGAAAGTGTGTGTGTATATATACACCAACTAAAATATGAAAGGTAAGTTGACTAAAAGTAGCAATTTTTTTTTTGAAAAGCAACCTCAGAGTTTTCAGTAAAGTGTTATCATAAATTAAACTTTACCCAGAGAGAATATTGACTGGAAAACACATTTTCTGAGTTGTTTTAGAGTTCGAGCTGCTTCTCAGTTGATGGCATGAGCTGTTTCAGGAACAGAACTATATAGATATTTAGACTTTTATTCTTACTTATTTTCTTCAGAATACTTTTGCCTTTGGTTTGAGGAGAGTCAGAATTCTTATCTGGATTCACCATGTTCACATCTGTGTGCACATGACAGATTTCAGTTCTGCTGTGGTTAACTTATCTGACTTGTCCAACAGGTTCCTGGGTGGAGCTCCCCATGAGCAACAGCAATGGCAATGATAATGGCAATGGGAAAAATGGGGGGCTGGAACACGTACCGTCCTCATCCTCCATCCACAATGGAGACATGGAGAAGATTCTATTGGATGCACAACATGAATCAGGACAGAGTAGTTCAAGAGGCAGTTCTCACTGTGACAGGTAAGTGAGACGCATGTTTTGGTGGAATTCAGGAAACGAATGGGTTATAGGGCTCATTCTCTCTAGGAAAAATGTATTTGCCTAAATCTTCACTTAGCAAAATATGCCTTCTGATACATTGCAGTGTAATATATATTGCACAGATATATATTGTGTTTATATGAGACAGCTAATGAACAGGTGCTTCAGTGCCCACTGTTTTTCCCCAGATTGTCATTTTTCTTACCCAGATTATATTGTTTTTAGCAGTTTATCAGTTTAAAAATTCAGTGGCGTAAATGCTAATTTATAGAATTAATATAATTTTCCCCCATTTTCTTTTGTATCCCTGTTTTACAGATAACAGACTGCCTTGAATTAGTTACCTCGGTATATATCTGTCTTCCCTTCTAGATCTTGACGTTTCAAAGGGCAATAGCCATGTTTCATTTTTATTAGCTTCATAGTAATGATGCTGGCCCATAGTAGACACTCAGTAAATGTTTGACTCATGGGACCTGCAGGTCGTTGCACGTTATAGCAATATTTGCACAGTTGGAAGCACCAACCAAGGTCTGTGAAGATAGTTTTGAAGGCTCTTCTGCTTTCTCAGATGATGTTTTGTTTCAGACCTCATTTTTCTGTGTTTGACCTGAAGAAACTAATTCCATGGATTAAGGACTGCTTATGGTGAAAGAGTAAGAATACAACGAGATATGTGTGTGGAATGAAACCAGGTCATTATTTTTTAGTAAAAACTTTTCTGTTTTTTTCCAAAAGGGCTAGATATTAAATGACATTTAAAAAATTCTTGTTTCAGTGACAGCTCCACTGTTAGCGTTATGGGTCACTGGATGACCTTCTGGGTGGTTGTTAACTGATGTTAACCATTTAGAAAATGCAAACGCACAGGAAGCAGATTAAGGAAATGTAAACAGTGACTATCTTTAGGAATGCAGTATGGATATTTTTCTTCTTAACATTTTTGTATTTTCTAAAAATTGTGTATATTGCACATATTATTACTTATCAGAAGAAGTGAAAAAAAGGAGAAATGAGTTAAATCATGTCCAGCTTCCTGAGTGGCTTATGATCCACTCATGTTGCCAAGGCAGCGGGGGGACTGGCTTGTTGGCTCTGTGGCACACTGTGCACCCCCGCCACCCCCGTGTCATCCCTTACTTGTCCCTGTGTTTCTTAGAGCCTGGGATGGCTCTTGTCATAAGCGGAACCAGAACAGATGGCTCTCTTCTGAACAGCTTGCCCTTGATTCTAGTAGCTACAGCATTAGTCTGCCTTTCCGAATGAAGATTTGTATTTATATTATGGAACTCGCTGATGGGTTTCTCAAGTTTTCTGCTTGTTATGGCCTGTCAACAAGGCTTTCACTCTAAGGTCAAGTGTGTGGGCCTTGATCATTGATACCACGGTGCCCATGAGCCTGTTGTTCACATGGTGCTGTCAATGAGCAGAGAAAAGTCACCTGCTTACCTGTCTGTTCATCTTATTACATGTGACTGAATATGCCTTCACCCTCCCATGATCATGTTTCAGTTTAGGTTGTGAGAAGGAGGCATGGCAAGTGCTTTTGAACACTTTCCTACCCCTCATCTTATGTATCTCCAGGCCCTAGATTAGTGATCATCTTTCAGAGAATGCCTAGAACCTGAGTGTGCAACAGTACTCTTCTGGGATATCCGACTAACACGCTTTACCATTAAGGAATGTCTTCAAAACTCACGTCATTTGAATTGCCATGCGTCTCTGTATTTGAAAAGTCACCGGGAAGTGTTTTTTGTAGGGGGAAAAGTTTTGGGGTTGTTGGGTATCAGTCCTAGAGCTGATTTATGTATATTTTCAACTTAAAAATTATTGCATAGAAATATTTGTGTCGCTGCAGGCATTGTTAGCTGGGAACCCCAGTGTGCTCTGCTTTGCCTTCCATCCTGTCACGGGGGTTTTCACCTTGACGGCACACGAGATTCACCCAGGAGCTTTTAAAAATGCCAGCACACGGACTGCATCTCAAGAACTTCTCATTTTGGTTGACAGGGGCAGGGTAGAGACATCACAATATTTTAAAAGCTCCCTAGCCGATTCTAATATGTGCCATGGGTGAAGCGCTAATGCATTCCAAATTGTTAGGAGGAAATAAACAGTTTAGAGAAGAGGTTGGTGCCAGTGTGAAGAAGCATATAGAAGCAGAGCGATGCTTCCATAGGATTCTTGACTTTGTCACCCTGACTGCCTTGACCTGGTCAAGGCTGTGTAAGGCTGACCCTTAACTGGATGTGTAGCTGTGAACCCAACAGTGTTATGAGCACAAAGATAGTAAACTGAGGCCACCAGGAGTGCCCAGTTCTGGTTGACTCCTGTGCTAGTTCAAGACAAAAATTTTCTAAATATATATGATGTTTGTTTGATACAGAACCAGCTTTTCTCTTTTCCTGTCCCCATTTAAGAATCTTCTATGTCAGTTATACCAGTCTAAAAGACTCCTAGGCCTCATCTGTCTGATAAATTTCTGACGATCTTATTTCTGAGTCAGTCTCACCAACATTTCTGTACATTAATTAACATTGTATACATACTCTTGATAACTTTTATAGTTAATATCTATTCCTTTCAGCAAGTTAAGCCTCAAATATTTTTTATTTCTATTTTAGATTTTGGGGGAGGGTTTGTGTATGTAGTGAAGGATCCCCAGTGACTTTCAGTTTTTACACAAGGAATCATTGATAAAGCTGAGAAATTAACTTAACACATTCTGTTCATCTCTTGCATCAAGTGCAGTTTGTGACCATGTTGTTTTTGTCTAAAAACTTATTTGTAAATTTTTACAGTTCTAAGAATGTATTTTGTGCAATTATAAAGGTTTTATATTAATTTATAAGCTTATATAATTCACTCTGAAATATCTCAAAGCAAATATTTCTGAAATAAGTAAAATAGTGGTTCTCAAAGTTTTCGGTTATTATATACCTTTACATTCCTAAAAATCATTAGGGACCCCGAAGGACTTGTTTGTGGGTTCATATATTTTGATATTTACTATATTAGAAATTAAAGCTGAGAAAATACATATTCAAAAATAATACATTTTAACATAAGTGACTTTTTTTAGTGAAAGTACCTATTTTCTATAAACCCTCCAAGTTAATAAGAATAGTGGCATTGTTTTACACGTTTACAAATCTCTAACACCCAGCTTAATACAAAACAGCTGGTTCTCATCCACGCTTGCATTCTAACTGTTGTACTATCACACATCACGTAGCCTTTGGAAAACTCCACTATACACATGGGAGAATGAGAATGAAAAAGGCAAATAAATCCTACTAGTATTAAGAAAGGAACTTTAACCTCAAAGACCGTCTGAAAGTATCTTTGAAAACTACCTTATGCACTTTGAGAACTACTGGTGAATTATTTAATGATGAGGGAACTTTGAGAAAAAGAACTCTGAACTAAAGTTCCTGAATTTGAAGATTTTTTTACCTTTAATGGACAAAAGAGTAAATATAAGAAAATGTGACAGTTTGTGTCTGTAGGTAGTATTTCCTTTGCAAATTTATCATTTTGAAGGAATTTATTACTACTGAAAAAGTACAGAACATTTTGGGAGTAAGAATGCTCAATTTCATTTAGCCATTTAATATCACATACATTTTTCTTGTATGGGGTTATGATATATTTTCTGATTTGCTTTTTCAAAGCCATACTGCTGTAACTTCTAATTTTCTAATTTCTAGTAGAGACTAAGTCATTTGACAAAGTGAGAATTAAAACTGATAGCTAAATTCCTTCTCTTCTAGCCCTTCGCCACAAGAAGATGGGCAGATCATGTTTGATGTGGAAATGCACACAAGCAGGGACCATAGCTCTCAGGTGTGTGGGGGGGATTCTGATTTATAGTAAACAAGAAAGATGGAAATTCTGTAACTATATTTTGCTAAAATAAAGAACATGAAGACTTTTAGGAATAGTTTGAAGCTATTACTGAATTTCTGATTTTGGAATTTATTTAGGACGGTATAGTTCATGTTGCACTCCTTTACAATTAAGGATTTGGGGCCCTGTCTCTCTAAAAGAATTGGAAAATTATTGCCCATAATGAATCATGCCAATACTCCAGGCTAGTTTCTTGAGTTTGTAAGTAGAAAAAACTGAGATAGATGCTTTAAGACCACAGAAAAAATGAAGATGAAGAACTAGACGTGAAGACTTTTTTTTTTTTTTTTTTTTGCATCTGAAATCAAAGCAGTGACTTTTGAGATAAATTTCAAGAGGTAGACATAAAATTTATCTAAATTATGCAGGATTCCTTGAAGATAAATATTGTTTACTAGGAGTTGACAATGTTGGAAACAGGGATATAGTATTAAAATGTTACAAATGTTTGTGTTATAAAACTTAAAATATGGTAAGTATGTAATTGTTGCTAATGATTTAGAATACTTATAGCCAGCCTTTAACTTTATTGATATGTAAGATCACCTGAAAGTGTCGTTAGAGTACAAATTCTTGAGGATGGGAACCATTTTCTTTTTCTCCTGTATTTAGGGTGCTTGAAAAATATTGAATGAACCTTTGAATGAGTTGCAACTAAAACCTTGTTTTGTAGGGTTTTCAATATGCTGTGTCCTGAGCACTAGAAATATTTTGTGTATCTTAGACCCACCCAGTATTCTTTCTGTTTCCGAAGGCCACAGCGTTCCTCCATACTTTACTATGCTCTATTTTTGCTTTTCTCTGAAATGTTGAAAATCTATGGATTCAGCACAAATTTATTTTATGATGATGAGCTTTATACTGTAGAGAAGCTCATAATAGCAGGCTCTCATGTAGTAAGATGATCTGACTGGAGCATTTGAGTTGCTGGCTTATGTATGTCAGTTTGGCCACATGCAGTAAGTGATAGCTGATGTAGAAGAAAGCATACAAAGTCTCCATAGCAGAAAGCGTACCAAGGAATCCAAGAGAGAAATCAAATTCTTTGCTGTGGTCTTTCCTGAGGAGGATTTCTTCAATCTATATCACCTTTTATACAGAAAGCTTAAAGTTTAGATTAGCATTTCCCAAAATGTGTTTTCAAGAATGTTTGTTCAAAGGGAATTTCCATAAGATAGTCCTGAAGTCAAATAAATGGAAAGTAATGCAGCCCCAGGCTCCCCCACACTCTCACCCTAGTAGTCGCATGAGTAGTTCTGACCAGTTCCTGCAGTAAAGAAATGATTATAGTTTAAGCTGGACATGGTGGCACTCGCCCGAGTCTCAGCTACTTGGGAGGTGGAGGCGGGAGGATCCCTTGAGCCCCAGGAGTTTTGAGTCCAGCCTGGGCAACATAGCAAGACTCTGTCTCTTAAAAAAAAAAAAGAAATGAGTTTAATTAAACCAAATGTTTCCCAAGCTTATTTGACCTTAGACTTTCTTCCTCTTCTCTGCATACATTTTTCCCTTAAGAACTTAATAACTCCGTGGAGCACTTTGGTAAGTGCTTTCCTGGCTCACAGAGTTGCAGACGTGCAATTAGGCTTAACTGAATATTGAATTTACACGGAATTCTAGAGCCGAATGCATCTCTCCTGGAATTCCAAAGGAATTCTTGAAATTCAGGAAAGAAAATGTCAGATTTTTGGCCTTTGGTAGGTTTGCCAGTGTTGATCCCTTTGCAGGACCAAATCCCTAAGAGAGCACAGGCTGTCATCAAGAGGAGGTACTTTATGTTGACAATCAGATCGGTCAGTTTCAACCAAGGGAAGAGTTTAGAAAGACAGTAACTCCTATGAGAGATAATTTAACGGTTGAGTAAGACTTAATAAGGGAGCTGTCAGTAGGTATAGTTTAAACTTTCAAAAACCTTTTACATTGCCTTTTTTTTTAATGGAAGAAACAATAATTTAAAAATTAATTTATTTAGGATTTGGGAACATTGATTTTCTTCCTGAATAAGAAGAAAGTTGAGGGTTAAGAAACTTAAAAAAACAGGTTAAGGACTGTTATTATACTTCATCTTATAGAATAAATATTTTTATATGTGTTTATAAGGACTATATATCATTTTCAAGCTTTTCTAAGATGAGGAAGGAAAGTCACTAGCATTAACTAGATATGTTCTAGTTGCTCAATTTCTTTCTTTTTTTTTTTTTTTTTTTTTTTTTTTTGAGACAGTGTCTCAGGGTCTTGCTTTGTCACCCAGGCTGGAGTGCGGTGGTGCAGTTATAGCTCACCACAGACTCCGATTCCTGGATCAAGCACTCTCTCTGCCTCAGCCTCCCTAGTAGCTGGGACTACAGGAACACACTGCCATACCTGGCTAATTTTTTATTTTGTTTGTATAGACAGAGTCTCGCTATATTGCCCAGGCCGGTTTCAAACTCCTGGCCTCAAATGATCCTCCCACGTCGGCCTCCCAAAGTGCTGGAATTACAGACATGAGTTACTACTCCCACCTCTCTTTTAATGTTCTCAATCCAGTGAAAGCAGTGATATTATCCCCATGGACAAATGGAAAAAGTGAGGCTTTGTACTAATTACTTATCTAAGATCACAAAGCAAGTCAGTGTTAGAGCCAGGATTCAAAGCAGGTCTCAGTCTGTGGCCCTTGTTCTTTCTACTGAACTAAGTAAATGAATTCGATTAACAGGAGAGCTCACAAAGCCACGAGAATGAACTGAAAAATGTCTGCTGAGTTATAGTGTGGGGAATTTCCGCCTAAGGCAGTGTGCACTTAGGAAAAAGACCAGGAAACTGCTTTTGGGATGATCATCCTCAAGAGTCTCAGTTTTGTATCAGAAAACAGACCATAGATTGTTTTTTCACTTGATCTTAGCCAAAAGTCCGAGAAGCAATATAGATTATTTATTGAAGACATTTTTGCGTTGTGTTTCTGGGACCAAAAAATGCCAGCACAGTGTTGAGTGTTACTGAAAAATGATCCAAACGGAAAGTGTCCTCCTTTTTCTCTCTTGTGAAACTGTGATTTTTATCTGTACGTGAATCATGGTATACAGCTTAATATCCATATTTAGAGGACAGAGTGACCTTGAGGTGGACCAGAGAAGGAAAACATAAGTGATTAGAAAATAAAGAACTCCATGTGAGAGAACAGGCTAGAATGATCAGAATCTTCTTTGTTTTTGTTTCTTGTTTTTGAGACGGACCTCACTCTGTCACCCAGGCTGGAGTGCAGTGGCTTTGGCTCACTGCAGCCTCTGTTTCCAGGCAGTTCTACTGCCTTAGCCGCCCAAGAAGCTGGGATTACAGGTGTGCACTACAACGTCCAGCTAATTTTTGTATTCTTAGTAGAGACGGGGTTTTGCCCTGTTGTCCAGGCTCGTCTCAAACTCCTGGCCTCAAGTGATCCATCCGCCTCAGCCTCCCTAAGTGTTGGGATTACAGGCAGGAGCCACAGTGCCCGGCCAGAATCTTCTTTGAATAGAATAGATGTAGGTATAGAGAGAGGATTATTGATTTTAAGAGCACAAATCTTACATAATTAGATTAAGTACATTTTTACCATATTCTGGAATTCTAAGAATTGGAAGGCAGTTTAAAACCTGAAAGTGGCAAATTTAAGACTAATAAAAGGAAGCACAGAGCGGTAGTAAATGGGGAAAGCTTACCACTCTTAAAGTGTTAGAATAAGTTGAGAAACTTATCTGGAGTTCTTTTTTGTTTTGTTTTCTTTTTAAAACACTTGTCCAGAGATAACTTTGCTTCACTCAACTGAGAAAATTCCATCCTCTTGAAAACAAAAATTAGAGCGTAAAATCTTACTGCGTTTTCATTCTGTCAGGAATTATGAAATACTAACTTGTTAAATCTTTGAGCAGGTTTAAAGAGAGACCTGTGAGGCCAAAGCAGGAAACTAAACAGAAACCACCTGCAGTATGTTGAGTGTAGTCAGATATTGTGTGCACAGCAACTGATCTGCAAGTAAATTGTAACCGTTTATTGTTTTTGATTTGGGATGATTTCAGTGTTACTCCAAAGAGCCAACTCATGATTCTGAGTAATCTCAATAGCCAATGGAAAGAGCTTAATCCTAAATGCTACATTGTGTCATTCAGCGGAATTTGCCAAGTTCAGCAGAACTAGATAAGAATGGTACTATCAAGAGCAGTAGACAACGCACAGGGGTTTGACTTTGCGCCGTCTGAAGCTCCTGTCCTGGGGTAGCTATTTCACAGAGAACTAGACCTGTCAAAAAAGAGTCATGTGAATATGTCAGACTCTGCATTTCTTAGCTACCTACTGAAAAGAATGACAGCTTTGGTCAAAGAGTGAATCGTAGTCAAACAAAATAAAATGTCAAAATGCTTCTTAGTTTTGAGGCCCTTGGGTTTGGGGACATTCCTTAAAACTGAATATGGCCGGGCGCAGTGGCTCACGCCTGTAATCCCAGCACTTTGGGAGGCCGAGGTGCGTGTATCACTTGAGGTCAGGAGTTCGAGACCAGCCTGGCCAACATGGTGAACCCCTATCTCTACAAACAATATAAAAATTTGCCAGGTGTGGTGCCAGGTACCTGTAATCCCAGCTACTCTGGAAGCTGAGGCAGGAGAATTGCTAGAACCCAGGAGGCGGAGGTTGCAGTGAGCCAAGCTCACGCCACTGCACTCCAGCCTGGGCGACAGAGCGAGACTCCGTCTCAAAAAGAAAACTGAATAAATAATACTGAATCAATAAAACTGAATAAATAAATATTTTTAGGACTTTTTCCCTCCTTTTGGGTCTATTAAAAGGGGAGCTATTGGAAATGTTAATTGTTCTTGGTCTGAAACTTTAGATTATCATTAGCAATTTTTTAAAATCACATTTTTTATTTTATGTGATATGACAGATGTTAAATTCTGACTCAACTTATTATGAATTATTCCAAAAAACTTTTGACTAACATAGTTTCAAAACCTTGGAAAATGTTTGCATAGCAATTTGTTCTAAAAATATAATCTCCTTCCGGAGCGTCAACCCTGGTGCTTAACAGTAGGACCTCTCTATACAGTGTTCTTGGGTTTGAATACTGGCCCTGCTATGTACTGATTGTGGAACTTTAGGCCAATTATTTAATCTATGTCTCAGTCTCTTCATCTGTAAAATGGGATTTTAATAATTCCTATTTTTATAGGGTTGTTTTTTGCAAGGTGAAAGTTAATGCATGTGGCTGGGTGCAGAGTGTCTCACACCTGTAATCCTAGCACTTGGGGAGGCTGAGGCGGGGGAGATCCCTTGGGCCTGGGAGTTCAAGACCAGGCTGGGCAACGTAGTGAAACACTGTCTCTTTAAAAAATACAAAAATTAGCTGGGTGTGGTGGCACAGACCTATAGTCCCAGCTACTTGGGAGGCTAAGGTAGAATTAATTGAGCCCAGGAGTTCAAGGTTGCAGTAAGCTATGATTGCACTCTGGCCTGGGTGACACAGGAGACCCTGTCTCCAGGAAAAAAAAAAAAAGTTAATGCATGTAACATGCTTGGAATAATATTTGCCCCTTTAAGTGCTCAGTAAATACTATTATTTATTTCCTCTTCATATCTCTCACTTATTTTTGTTTTACTTCGCATCATTTTTTTTTAGCATATCCTTTTATTTCCTTTTATTTTTTTAATTATGAATTTTTTTTTGAGACAGAATCTCACCCTGTTGCCCAGGCTAGAGTGTAGTGGCTGGATCTCAGCTCACTGCAACCTCCACCTCCAAAACTCAAGTGATTCTTCTGCCTCAGCCTCCCAAGTAGCTGGGATTACAGGCACCCGCCACCATGCCCAGCTAATTTTTTTTTGTTTTGTATTTTTTTAGTAAAGACGGGGTTTTACCATGTTGGCCAGGCTGATCTCCAGCTTCTGACCTCAAGTGATTCACCCGCCTCAGCCTCCCAAAGTGCTGGGATTACAGGCAGGAGCCACCACACCCGGCCTAATTACAAAAATTTTAAGTGCATACAAAAGAGAATAATATAATGGACCTCCTTACAAGTATCGCCCAGATTTAACTCTTACCAAGGTTTTTCGTACTTCAGTTAGCATTACATCCCAAAATACAGTCTTTTTCCAGTTCCTGTGCTGCGCTTAGATATCTCAACAGTAAAGCTTACTCAGGTTGTTCGGAAGATATTACATACTCTGATCTTAGATTATTTTTCAGCATTTTTTAGAAAAACAGCTTGTTTCTTATCTAAAATTGCTGAGACGCAACCTTATGAGTTTGGTATATTTCCTGTCCAGACTTGTCTTTGTATTAGGAGGAATTGGTCTTCCTTTTTTTCTTAAAGTTTGAATTATTCTTTACAGTCAGAAGAAGAAGTTGTAGAAGGAGAGAAGGAAGTTGAGGCTTTGAAGAAAAGTGCGGACTGGGTGTCAGACTGGTCCAGTAGACCCGAAAACATTCCACCCAAGTGAGTTTTCACATGTTTCTTGTCAGTGGACACAGTTGATCTGTACCCACTTATAGGCAATGGTTGGTAATCCCCGCGATATTTTCAGCAAATGACATCTGCCTCTGAATTTCTTTCTCAGGGAGTTCCACTTCAGACACCCTAAACGTTCTGTGTCTTTAAGCATGAGGAAAAGTGGAGCCATGAAGAAAGGGGGTATTTTCTCCGCAGAATTTCTGAAGGTCTTCATTCCATCTCTCTTCCTTTCTCATGTTTTGGCTTTGGGACTAGGGTAAGTACTGGTCAACTCTTGAAGTTTTTTCCATTCATTTTATCCTATTTTATTTTCAGATTGAAGAAATGTATGTGAAAGCAGTTTTTACTGCTTTACTTTTAATGTTTCAGTGCAAATAAGGCTAACTTAAGAATGATTAAAGTGGGTACACAATTGTTCTACAAATAAGCATTTTTAATAATAGTAGAGGTTTTTTTTCTTACTTGAAAATAAGATGTTTGGCCTGGCGTGGTGGCTAATGCCTGTAATCCCAGCACTTTGGGAGGCCAAGGTGGGTAGATGACCTGAGGCCAGGAGTTCGAGGCCAGCCTGACCAACATGTTGAAACCCGGTTTCTACTAAAAATACAAAAATTAGCTGGCCGTGGTCGTGCACATCTGTAGTCCCAGCTACTTGGGAGGCTGAGGCAGGATAGAATCGCTTGAACATGGGAGGCAGAAGTTGCAGTGAGCAGAGATCATGCCACTGCACTCCAGCCTGGTGGATAGAACAAGACTCCATCTCGAAAAAAAAAGAAAAGATGTTCATATTAATCCCCTAAATGATCATTTTTAACTGGACTCTTCTGTGGTTGATTTTTCTTTTTGGGTTTTGTTGTTTAATATTTAATCTTGAGTAATTTATGAACTAAACTAATCTTTAACATGTATATTTTGTGGTCAATGCAAAGACTTTTTTTCATATGGGAAAATACATGATTACATTGAATGGTTTTTTTAAATGAAACTGGTAGGTTGACTGGTGCTCATTTTTTCCTTTTTTAACTTGGTAGTATTTTCATTTATTTTGCTAAAATCGACCTCATATTTACGTATGATTCATTAGTTTTTCAGCCACATCTTTTAAATAAATTGCTTTTTTTCCTTGATTTAAACAATTAAGGAATTACACTTCTGAAAGATTTTAGGAGTTAAACAGTAGCTGTTAATTTTTTTCAAGACATATGTTGTGCTGTAAGCATGCCCAATGGGTCGTTTTCATATAAGATATGCAGAAGGTGGGTCATCATTTTCTTCCCTTTAAGGAGCTCAGCATATTGGAGAGAGATTCTCAGTCACGAGCTCAGAAACTTGCATACAGCTTTCCACACGCCCCTCTTGTCTCTCTTGGGTGCTTGATCTGCTTTTGTGAGGGTGAGGACAGTAATCACAAACAGCAACCTAGAAGAGGTTTGTGCAGAAGGGCAGCGTGTGACCGTTGCATGGGGGTTGATGTGGGGCAGGTATAGGAGTTTAATACGTTGCTATCTATACAGCAGTTCATTGCCCTTAAGCGGTTGGTTTCTGTACCTTGCCGTCTCTCTTTCAGTCATCTTCAGATTGTTTGTCTTGGCTGTAAGTGTAACTATTGCTATAGATAAATGTAAAAAGAGGGTTTAAAAAGTTGGTTGCTTTAGTTGCACTGGAGGTGAAGCTTGTTACATATTTTCCTCAACTTCCCTTCTGCTTTTGCTGTTGAAGAGGCCAAATACTTGGTTGGCCTGAAAAAGTATTGTAAGGCCCCTAATCCTTAAGAGTTATTAGTAAGAGCTGTCTTTAAAGCACTGACAGCTTTTAAGGGTTTTTTTTTTTTTTTTTTTTTTTTTTCTCCTACATAGAGCACCAAAATAATTTCACATATTACTATATTTTTGTGTCAGTAGAACCTTCTGTCCACCAAAGAGGAACATATTGAAGGAGTTGGGCTGCTTTATTTACTCTGTGGAGGGATCTGTTCTCTCTGGCTTTACTTTGTCTAATCACTACCCCTTTGCTGTGGAGCCCCAATTTAAAGAGTAAACAGAATCATATAAAACCAGTTTGGCTGGGCTGGTGACTGGTTTTAAGAAAGTCAGCGATGATTTCATGGTGTTTGGGGAGCGGTGCCCACAAATTTTTAGAGCCTTTTACAAAGACTGAAGAGTTTTAAGTAGAGTTCAGACTATGGACAGGTTGGTACAGAACTGTTGAAACAGGTGAAACATGATACCTCTGCTTCCTTTCAGCATCTATATTGGAAAGCGACTGAGCACACCCTCTGCCAGCACCTACTGAGGGAAAGGAAAAGCCCCTGGAAATGCGTGTGACCTGTGAAGTGGTGTATTGTCACAGTAGCTTATTTGAACTTGAGACCATTGTAAGCATGACCCAACCTACCACCCTGTTTTTACATATCCAATTCCAGTAACTCTCAAATCCAGTATTTTATTCAAACTCTGTTGAGGCATTTTACTAACCTTATACCCTTTTTGGCCTGTAAGACATTTTAGAATTTCCTAACAGAGTTTACTGTTGTTTAGAAATTTGCAAGGGCTTCTTTTCCGCAAATGCCACCAGCAGATTATAATTTTGTCAACAAGGCTATTATCCCTAATTAGTACCACCAGAGTAGACCTGTATCATTCATGGTATAAATTTTACTCTTGCAACATAACTACCATCTCTCTCTTAAAACGAGATCAGGTTAGCAAATGATGTAAAAGAAGCTTATTGTCTAGTTGTTTTTTTCCCCCAAGACAAAGGCAAGCTTTCCTAAGTTTGAGTTGATAGTTATTAAAAAGAAAAAAAAAAAAAAAAAAGCAAGACATAAGAAAAAAATATCCTGGGCAATAAAAAAATTATTTTAAACCAGCTTTGGAGCCACTTTTTTGTCTAAGCCTCCTAATAGCGCCTTTTAATTTATAGGAGGCAAGCTGTATAATGATAGGTATGAAATAGGATAAGAACTGAAATACATCAGCAGATTTTCATACTAGTCTGTTGTAATGCTGTCTTTTCTATGGTGTAGAATCTTTCTTTCTGATAAGGAACGTCTCAGGCCTAGAAATATATGAAATTGCTTTTCGAGATTTTTGTGTGTGTGTTTGATATTTTTTATGTTAATTAGCTGCATGTGAATTTTTCATGACTTTAAATTTTTTATTTTTTATTCCTTTTTTTTTTTCTCTAAGAAGAGGCTTTGGAATGAATTCCAATTTGTGATGTTAATACAGGCTTCTTGTTTTAGGAAGCATCACCTATACTCTGAAGCCTTTAAACTCTGAAGAGAATTGTTTCAGAGTTATTCCAAGCAGTTGTGCAACTTGGAAAAACAGACTTGGGTTGTGGGAACAGTTGACAGCGTTCTGAAAAGATGCCATTTGTTTCCTTCTGATCTCTCACTGATTAATGTTTACTGTACAGTCTTCCCAAGGTGATTCCTGCGACTGCAGGCACTGGTCATTTTCTCATGTAGCCGTCTTTTCAGTTATGGTAAAACTCTTGAAGTTCAGAACACTCAACAGATTCCTTCAATGATATACTTGTTCGTTCATTTCTAAAATGTGAAGCTTTAGGACCAAATTGTTAGAAAGCATCAGGATGACCAGTTATCTCTAGTAGATTTTCTTGGATTTCAGAACATCTAGTATGACTCTGAAGGATACCACATGTTTTATATATAAATAATTACTGTTTATGATATAGACATTGATATTGACTATTTAGAGAACCATTGTTAATTTTAAAACTAGCAATCTATAAAGTGCATCAGGTCAACTTGAATAAAAACACTATGACAGCCAGGTTTGCCAGTTTGCAGAAACTATCTAACTCTCTCTGTCACATCAACATTTGTAAAATTGATGTGTTATAGTGGAAAATAACATACAGATTAAACAAGAAAATTTTTATCTTTTTTCAAGAATATAGCTGGCTATCTTTAAGAAAGATGATATATCCTAAATAGTTTTGCAAGTAATTTTCTTTTTTCTTTCTAGCATTTGATGTCTAAATAATTTTGGACATCTTTTTATTAGACTGTGTTTCTGTCTTACTCTTAAACCTGGTAACACTTGATTTGCCTTCTATAACCTATTTATTTCAAGTGTTCATATTTGAATTTCTTTGGGAAGAAAGTAAATCTGATGGCTCACTGATTTTTGAAAAGCCTGAATAAAATTGGAAAGGCCGGAAAGTTAGGAGAACTGACTAGCCAAACTGCTACAGTATGCAATTTCTCTTACAATTGGTATTACTGGGGGAAAGTAAAATTATACTTTACCTGAAAGTGACTTCTTACAGCTGGTGCACTGCGCTCTTTCCACGTTCAGCAGCAGTTCTGTCAGTAGTGCCATTGAACCTCGGTATATTTATGATTTCTTTCAATGTTAAAAATAGACATAGTGTTGCCCTTTTTCTTAAAGCCTCAATGAAATTATGGAAAATTGCTTAAAACATGAATACATCATCACAGTAGAATGTATTATGAGAGCATGTGGTATGTATCTATAGCCCTAACACACGGGATGAACGTTTTACTGCTACCCCCAGATTTGTGTTGAACGAAAACATTGTGGATTGGAAAGGAGAATTCAGCAATTAACAGTTGAAGTTGTGAGATTAATGTTTTAAAAGCTTTACACCTGTTTACAATTTGGAGACAAAAAGGCAGGCTTCATTTTTCATATGTTTAATGAAAACTGGCTTAAGATATTTGTAAATAGAATCAAGAGCAAAACTGCACAAACTTGCACATTGGAAAGTGCAACAACTTCCCGTGATTGCAGTAAAAACACTTACTATTCTAAAAAAATGAGAATTGAAGACTTAGCCAGGCAGATAAGTTTTTTCATGAACCCGTGTGGAAATTATTGGAATTAACTGAGCCAAAGTGATTATGCATTCTTCATCTATTTTAGTTAGCACTTTGTACCGTTATATACAGTTTACAATACATGCATAACTTGTAGCTATAAACATTTTGTGCCATTAAAGCTCTCACAAAACTTTCCCTGTCAGTATATCATTTTTCTGTCGTATGTGTTGTCTGGGAGTTTCGGGCGATGAGGCCTCCTCGCCTGCACACAGCCTTCCAGTCATCTGGCTCCTCAGCAGTGGAGTTGCTGACAGTGCTCAGGGTGTGAATGGTGTTCTCAGGATGGGGACGGTCACCGCAGTGTGAGCATTTGTGAGTGCCTCGGGACTGTGGCATTCAGAGCGTTTGCCTCCAGGTGGTGGCAGGAGGGTGCTCACGGGGGGAGTGCTCAGGATGTACAGGAGGGATGGGAGTGTGCCCTGATGGGAATGGTGGTGGGGACACCTGCGAAAGTGGATCCAGAAGGAACTGGAAGTTCCATGTGCCTGGAAAACAGGATGGATACAGAGAAAACTGAAAAATGTAGGTTAGTATTGAACCCAATTGAAATGTGTGTGCCCTCCCAGGGGTCACACTTCATCAGGGATACCTTTGGGGGTTTACTTCTTTCAAACAGGGAGGTGATTTAAGATGTATATTTTAGACAGTCAAGCCATCTGGTGAGAGTACCAGAGGAGATCAATCAGTTCTCTAGGTGAGGAGCTAGGGCCTGCCCTGGGCTGTCACCCTGGGGTTGGCAGTGGTGGGCCAGGATACGTATGAGAAACAAAGCAGAAGCAAACTGGTCAGAAGGTGACTTAGAGAGGAAGGCATGTGTATTCCTTTGTGTGTGTGTGTGGCCTGAAAACATGGGTTGATCCCATTAGTTAAAGGAGGACGGGAGAAGAAATGGGGTGGTAGGAGCAAAGAGGGAGGATTTCAGTTTTGAGTGCATTGAACATGAAATGTCTGAGGGACTTCCGATTGGACACTTATTAGATAGAACTATAAGCCAGGAGAAGGGTCTGGAGTGGAAGTAAAACACAGACCCGTGCATTATGTATTTATATGATGTTTAAAGATTGGACAATGGACAAGGAAGAAAGGTTTTCAAATAACGGGAAAGCCCAACATTTGAAGGCAGAGCAGAAGAGAAGTTCGAGGTGAATGATATTGTTGGTATCACAGAACCCCCAAAGTAGGAGGTGACCATGTTTCGTGGTGAAGTAAGAGGAATCGAGAAGCTTTGGAATAAGGCAGTTGGATCTGTGCTGATCTTTGCAAGAGCGTTTTCTGTAGGAGTGAAAGAGGGATCCTGGATAAGATTGCGTCAGGTCAGTGAATGAATAGCAAGAAGTGTTGGCTTTTCTGGAAAAACTTCATGATTAAGAAAACAAGGGGGGAGTTTCTGAGGAGGAGACAGAATTGTAGGATTGTTGGCTTAGGTTGGGAATAGAGAGGGGTCAATGTGTAGGCTAAGGAGAGAGAGCAGAGGCAAATATTAGAGTTGTGGAGGGAGCAGATCGATAATGGAATAGTGGGACCTACTCCCTCCCAGAGTGAGAGGAAGGAAATGTAATTAAGTACTCAGTGGGGAGTGAGCCTTGGAAAGGTGGAGTTTACACAACCCAGACACTGATGACAGGAAATGAAGATGTGAGAAGGGGTGAGGAGAGATCAGTTAGAAATGAAAAGTGAGGAAACCCGCATCTGGTGGCTCCAGTTTCTCCATGTTTGAAGAGGAGGCAGAGGTCGATGATGAAGGAAGACAGAGTTGTTTCCCATCAGTATCTCCTTCTCTGGAAGGAGACGGGAACTAATGCTGAAATCCTCAAAGCCTTTCAATGGCTTCTGCCTTCATTCCCCAGTGCAGCCAGAAGCACGGGGCAGGTGGACTGGGCTCTGCTGCTTCACAGCCTGGGCGACATGTTTTGAGCTTCAGCTGTCTCATGAGTCAAGCCAACGGGCTTCCCAAGGTGCTCTCTGTGGACCTTTTAATTCTACAGTTGCTGTTAGTAAATTATGGCTCAGGGTAAAAAGCAGGATTAGGAATGGATGAATGATCGCTTGAGCCCAGGAATTTGAGACCAACCTGGGCAATATAGCAAGACCCCATCTCTACTAAAAATTAAAAATATTAACCAGGCATGGTAGCACACACCTGTAGTTCCAGCTATTCGGAAACTGATGGAGGGAGGATTGCTTGAGCCCAGGAGGTCAAGTCTGCAGTGAGCTAGGATTGCACCACTGCGTTCCAGCCTGGGTGACAGAGCGACACCGTGTCTAAAAACAAAAAGGCAGGAGCCAGGTGCAATGGCTCATGCTTGTAATCCCAGCACTTTGGGAGGCCAACGCGGGAGGATTGCTTGAGCTCAGGAGTTTAAGACCAGCCTGGGCAACATGGCAAAACCCCATCTTTACAAAAAAATACAAAAAATTGGTTGGGCATGGTGGCATACAACTGTGGTCCTAGCTACTCAGGAGGCTGAGGTGGGAGGATTGCTTGAACCCAGGAGGTTGAGGCTGCAATGAGCTGTGATTGTGCCGTTGCACTCCAGCCTGGGCAACAGCGAAATCCTGTCTCAAAAAAAAAAAAAAAAAAAAAGAATAGGTGAATGAGGAATAGACACTATGGACATTTTATAAATATTACTTTGGTAGTGGATCAAAAATGTAAATGGACCAAGATAATGGAACAGAATGCAGAGAAAAAA